TCCCTGCCCTGACACCAGGGTTTTCCTGGGTGTGGCTTGTTTGCCCGGCTGCAAGCCCGGAGAAGCCACAGCCCCTTGCTTCCACCCCTGAGCCAGCTGTCCAGCGGTTGCTGGCCTGGGTTCCCAGATGTTTGGCCGGTTACCAATGGCCCTTGGCCCCAGCCAGTCTAGAGGCTCTGTAGGTTCCTTCCCTGAGGGGTGTTTGGGTGGGATTCCTGAGGGACCTGGTGGCAGGGAGGAGGGTGGGGATTGGCGTCTTCTTGAGTGGCCTGTTGCCCTACCCTTACACCATTAAAGATGCTCAGCGAGGTCTGCTCTGTGGGATGCCCGGGGCTTCTGCCAGAACCTGGGCACCCCCCCCGCACCCCCTACCCCCCAGCTCTCAGCTTTGGGCCTCCTTCCTCTGCCACTTGCCCTGTGACGGCCTTCAAGGTCTTGGCCACACACCCAGCCTCCCGGGGCCCCTGCCTTCTGCCCTCATTATGGGAGGCCCCTCTTGTTTTCCTCAGCGTACTGCTTGTACCACACTGCAGCCCCGACCTAGCCATCCTCTGCTGTTTCTTGCTCTCCTTGGAATCTGAGCCCAAAGAGGGCAGGCCCATTGACGGTCCCCACCACCAGACACGGCAGTTTGCATGTAATCAGGGCTTAATAAATATCTTTTGCCTTGAATGAACTGGGCCCGCACCTGCTTTAGAGGTGAGCATTTAGGTGGGGGTGGGTTGCTTTCAGGGGACAAGCAGAGGACAAGCTGGGGGCGGGAAAGCCAGAGTCACAGGAACAAGCCTCTCCTCAGTGATCCCCTCTAGTCCTGCCCTCCCGCCCTTCTCCACCAGGGGGTGCTCCTCCCCCTTCGGTGGAAGGACGGAGGCTGTTGTCCAGGGTCACCACCCCGGCCCACAGTTCCAATAACTCCCCTTCCACCCACTGTTTCTCCTTTTCAGCTCCTGGGGTGCTTTGAATACATGATCAAGTGTGAGCCCCCAGTGGGGAGGCAGGCAGAGAGGGTCTTACTGTTCTCATATTACAGAGGATGAAACAGGAGCAGAGCATGTCCTTTTCTTCAAAGACATACAACGACTAGGTGGAAAGGAGGGGAAACTGACCCCAGGCCTTTGGACTCTGGAGTCAGTGCTCCTTGATGACACCATGCAACTCCTAGCTGGGTCCTGGGCCAGGCCTGATCCTGGCTGTGGACGGCTCTGGTCGGAGGACCCCTCCCTGATCGCCCCCCAACTCTTGCCCTAGCTGGAGTTGGGGAACACAGAGCCTAGAGCTTTGCAGCTTCTTCCTTCGCTCAACTCATCACCCCTCTGTCTCTCTCATGCCCAAGTCTCTCCCAGGGCTCCCCTGTGCTGCTAACTTTCTTTCTTTCTTTTTTTTTTTTTTTAAAGACTTTATTTATTTGTCAGAGAGAGAGAGAGAGAGCGTGAGAGAGCACAGGCAGAGTGACAGGCAGAGGGAGAAGTAGGCTCCCTGGCGAGCAAGGAGCCCGATGCAGGACTTGACCCCAGGACGCTGGGATCATGACCTGAGCTGAAGGCAGCCGCTTAACCAACTGAGCCACCCAGGTGTCCCTGCTGCTAACTTTCTTAACAGGCCTGTCTCCACTCCCTCATCCCCAATGATGCTCTTCCTCACTGTGAAATCTGGCCTCTGCCTCCACCGGTCCCCTCTTTGCCCAAGGTGCCCTCTCTGCCCAACACAGTGCCACTTCCTCGGTTCAGGAACGCCTTGGGTCTACTGATGACTTCCAAAGCTGTATCTCTAGTTTAGGCCTCTTTTCGGAGAGACAGACCCAGAGTTTAAGGTGCTGGTCACTCTTCCACTTGGCAACACAGCCTGTGGGTTAAGTGTGTGGACTCCGGAGCCCAAATGCCCAGATTCAAATTCTGGGTGGACTTGGGTGAGGTACTCAAGCTCTCTGGGCCTCAGTTTCCTTATCCATAAAATGAGGATTATAACATCTATTTCAAAGCTCCTTTGTGAGGCTGAATTGGAATAACACATACAAAGGACGCACAGTGCCTGGCATGCCCCCTCTCCTTGAGAACACTCCAGATTTTTCCATCTCCTTCCCGCAACACCCAGCTGGTCACCAAGTCGTGGGGGCCTCTGATGTTTCTTGCCCCTGTCCTCATTTAGGGTCTCCACCGACCATCTCCCCGCCAGCCACATCTCCTTGCTGCCCCCACCCCCCTGTCTTTCCTACTATGTGGCCCATCTCTTCTTAAATCCCTGCCCCCAGCAGGCTGGAATCTAAGTGCCTCAGGCCCAGTCACTCCATCGGCATATCCCCCGCCCACGTTTCCTTCCTCATCCCTCCATGCTTCCTGCCCACATATGTACCCTCCTTACCCTCTTCTTGGCTCCAGCCACATCACTAGAATCTGTTTTCTCCTGCCTTTGCCTATGATAGTCCTTTTCCCTGGAGTGCTTTTAACCCCCATTCCTCGTCCCCCCCACCTCACCATGAAGCCCAAAAAGCTCAAGGCCCCCTCATCCTGGAAGCTTTCCTCTGCTCCTTTTCGGAGATCTCACTACAGAGTCAGGATTGGTAAGACTAGGACTCCCACAAGGGAAGGAGCTAGGTCTTATCTCCGTATCCCCAGGGGCAACCTTCAGTCCCCCAACCCCTCATATATATTAAGATTCCCAATAAGCATTTGTGAACTGAGAGGAAGGTGACTGGGCTGGGGGAGGAGCTTAGAAAGAGGAGAAGTATAAGGAGGGTCCTCAGTGAGGGACCCCCCCCCACCCATGCTGGGCTCTACTTCCAGGAACCCCAGAGAAAGCGTGTGCCAGGCATGGAGTGGATTTGGGGGTGGGTTGTGGGACCCGGGAGTGAGACCCAGTGAGCCTGAGGGAAAGGACAGGAGGAAGAAGGGCTGGAGAAGATCGATCGGAGAGGGCCAGGACAGAATGGGGGTGCAGGTCAAAGTGCAGGAAGAGGTGGGAAGGGCAGCTGGGTGGGGGAAGAGCGCACTTTCTGGGAAGTGGGAGAGGGTGGGGGAGGTGAGCGCGGTGCATTGTGGAGGGAGGAATTCATCTGCTGGCGGGTGTGAGCTCATTTCCTCTCACTGCCTCCCGCTGTGTCTGAGGGCATCAGGCTCTGGAAAAAGTGAGCCAGGGGCACCCCAGCGGTCACCACCCTCCTCCACTCCCCCCACAGCCACAGTTCAGTCTGGACCCCAGGTGCCACTGCTTCCCCCTTACGGAGACAGCCCGTTTGTTCTGAGAGGGGAGGACCCCTGAGCCAGCATTGCAGCATCGGACCCCTGGAGCTACAGGACAGAGGGAGGGAGAAACAGGAACCTTCTTGAAAACCAAGCAAGACAATACAGGCAGTATGATGCGTTACAGTTAGATAGCAGGAAGGACTTCTTAGAAGGGCCAGGGGCAGGGGGTAGGGTGTGGGGTGGGGTGGACAATTCCAGCTGCACGTGACCTTGATGAGGAGAGGTGGGGAAGGAAGAGGAGTCATGAACGGCCCCTCCATCATTATGAGAGCATCCCTTTTCCAAGGACTGCCAGGGAACTGAAAAGAAATTAAATAAAACATAAGATTTAAAAACAAGTTGGTATGTTCTTCCTCCGGCTCATAGGATTAGGGACTGCCTAGTGGGTGTCTGGGCCCCTCTTAGCCGCTCCAAGACCTGAGTCCTGGCCCTGGGGAGACTTGGAGCTGGCGAGGTAGGCAGGCTTTATGAGGTCTCCTTCCCCAGAGGACGTGGGTGATTCCCGTGGGCAGAGTCAGCCTTCCACTTTCGTTGCCTGCTTTTATCCCATTCCCATTTGTATCTACCTGTGGCCTCTGCCTTCTTTTCTTCATAATCTGAGTGAAGGAATATGGGAGACCTTTAAATCTGCAAGAAGGCATGGGAAAGAGGTAAGCTGAGGCTGTAGGAAATACAGGAAGTAAGAAGGATGTCAGTTAGACAGCAGAAGGGACTTTTCGGCAGAAATGGGGACTGAGGGACCAACTCTTCCCGGAACATCAGGAAATGGCCTGGAGGGGTCCTGCTTAGGGGCAAGGAAATAAAGAACTGGCTCAGAACCCCAGGGGCTTTTGGGGCCCACCTTGGAATGAAGCCCCAAAGGAAGGTTGTGGGGAGCTTGTGACTGGGAGGCCTGGGGCCATCTCTGCCCTCACTGTTGTCCACAGCAGAGCAGATCTATGGGCTGGTCCAGAAGCCTGAATCCCAGGCTGGCTGGCTGGGTGTCTGAAGGGCTGGGGGACCCACCAGCCTCTTTCTTCCAGTCTCCATTTCTCTGCCTCCTTGGGGTCCTGGACTGAGACTCTTGCCTGGGAAGAAGGCCCTAGATAGAGGGGTTAGAGCCCCTGAAGCTCCCACCTGCCCCCGCCCTTGTCTGTCCTTGTCTCCACGAGTCTCTGGACAGAAGGCTCCCTAAGCATTTTTTCTGTCTATCCCTCTCTTCAATCCTGGGTCTCTATCTTTGTCTCTGACTTTCTTCTCCTGCACTCTGCACTGTCTCTATCTTGTCTCTGCCTCTGTGATGCTTTCTGTGTCTCTTAGCCTTTGTTTCTGACCACTTCTGTCTGATTGTGTTTCTCTCTGCTTCCCTCTCCCTTCCTTCTTCCATCCCTCTCTCTCCCTGTGCTAGCTCTGGGTTGGGTGCCCTTGTCCTCTTTCCTCCCCAAGCCAGGATCACTATTCATTTGGGCCGGTTCCCGGGAGACCAGCCCAAATTTTCTCCCTGAGACCACCTCTCTTGCCCAGGCTGCTCTGTCTTCTAGCTCCGCTGCCGGCGCAAAGCCCTGCCTGAGCCCCCTTTATCTGTCAGCTGCTCTGGGAAGAGGCGGCGGGTGCGCCCCGTCGGGAGCGCAGGGGGCGGAGCGAAGGGGCTGGCCCCCGGGGGGGGGACACTCCGCGCTCGGCCCCGCCCCCTCCGGCCCCGCCCCCTCCGGCCCCGCCCCTCCCGGGTCCCGGCCCGCGCCCCCAGCAGTGCCCCGGCCGCAGAGCCGCCGCTGCCGCCCGATGAATGGAGTCGCCTTCTGCCTGGTCGGGATCCCGCCCCGCCCGGAGCCCCGGCCCCCTCAGGTGAGGTCGCTGGGCCAGGGGAGGGGGGCGGATCCAGGCGCTGCAGGGGAGCTGCCGCCGCAGGGCCGGGGTCGCGGCGCCCCCGCTCGGCGGGCACCGCCTGGGGCGCACGCCGCTGGCACCGCGGGCACGGCTGCAGGGAACCTGGGCTGGTGGCGGGCCGTGGGAGGGGGCCGGAGCGAGAAGTGCCCCGGGTAGGGGGGCGGGAAGGGGGAAGGCAGGCAGAGGACCGGGACGCGTACGGGGCTGCCAGGGCAGAGGGCACCGACCAGGGCGGCGGTGCCAGGCCCCCCGCGGCCGGGTAGCGGGGGCGGGAGGCCCGCGCCTTTTGTCCGGGTTTTTCAGGCGGGGCGTCTGCCGCCGTTTCCTCTGCCCGAGTTTTCGTTTTCCGTTGGCGAGGCCCCGGCACAGCTGGAGGGAGAGGGAGTGGGGGAGGGGGTTCCCGGAGCGGGATGTCCTTGGCCACTGCGGCCGGACACCCCCCTCCCCGCGCCACACTCGCCCCCTGCCGGGCCTGACCGCACGACGAGCTTCAGGGAGCGGGTCTGCCGCTCCACTGGCTCCTGGGAGAAGACAAACGGGCCCCGGGACCCCATGGTCCCGAAGGCTCAGCTGCGCTCCCTTCCGCCCCCTCGGGCTGGCTGTGGGTGGGTCTGGGTGCGGGGTGCCAGGGGCATTACTCAGCGCTGGGCTGCTTTGCTTGGGTTCTTTCATCTGCCAGCTGTTGAAGCTGGGGAGGGGCCAGTAAGGACCTCGGGGCCCCTTTGGAACCAGCCCCCTACCTCCAAGCCTGGTTGACCGGTGCTGGAGTACCCCAACACTGCACCACCCTCCTTCCAAGTTCAAGGGTTGGACACTGTCTGGCCAGTCCTTTCCCAGGTTGGAAAAGAAGTTGCCTCGGGGTCCAGGTTGCGGTGAAGGTCTGGGCTGAGGCCTCTTCCTCTTCTGATAAGGCTGGAGGACTTAGTGATGCTCTTCCTCAGCTGCCTCCCCCTCTCCCTCCATCCCATGCTGGAGCTGGGGTCTGGTGCTCTGCAAACTCTTTGAGACTGGTGTGTTTCTCAGAAGCTGGACGTATGCTCAGTTCTCCCTCAGCCTGGAGCATTCTCTCTTCCCAGAGTCTCCCTGCGCCTTTCAGCCAAAGTGTTTCCTAATTACAAACTTGAAATTCAGGATGGACAGGGGGTGGGGGTGGAGGTCATTAAGCCTGAGTCCCATGGATTCACAACCCCCCCCCAACCACACATACTTCATCTCCACCCCCCCACCTTATCCACCCCCACCCCAGGCCCAGCTGGGAGTGGATGGGGTTTGATTCCATGGGGTTCAACCCCCTCTGCCAGGTCAACAGCCTTATTCCCAAAAGTGGCTGCTCTTGCTGAGATGTGCTCATTGGCCTGCGATTTGACTCTCCATTACATAACCAGTCATTTCGCCTCCAAACACAACCCAAAGGCCCCCAGACCCAGCCTCGTCCACTTGCTCCCAAGGTGGTTGGGTCCACCCCTATGTGGCTGGGAACTCCTGTTCCAGCATCTGAGGCCTTGCCTTCCCCTTGGGAATGATAAGAGCAATAAATCTCTTTTACCTTCAGTGCTGGATTTCAGGACCTCAAAAGCCCTGTGGGTGGGCAGGGTGGATATTTGGGTCTGAGACCACACAGCAATATTGCCAGGGATGGAACCTGGGTACCCTGATGAGATCTGGGCATAAGGCGAAGCTTTGGGCAAGGGGATGCTGTTAGGAAGGTGGCTTTGGGACACCATGGGCAGTGGGGCAGGCTTTCAAGGATCCCAGCCCAAGCAGAGAAGGACTGGACCCAGGGAGCAGGCCTTGTGCTGCGCTGCCTGCATGGGGACCTCTCTGCCCCCTCATCAGACTTGCCCTGAGCCTGTGGGGAAGGGATGCAGGAGGCCCCTCTGGTCGCCCAGCGGTGCAGCGGTTTGCTGGGGATGGGAGTGGGATGAGGGATGGTGCTGGTTGCAGAACAGGGCAGGAGTGGGCAGGCGCATGCGTCCTTCATCCTTCATTGCAGGGATACTTAGAGGGGCTGCCTGGTATGTAAGGTTAAAAGAGACTACAAAGCAGGAGAATGGACTAAGTGATAGTAGGAGGGACTGTAATTATCAGTAGGGAGAGGCTTTCGAGCGGCAGCATCCCAGCCTGGCCGGGAACATTCCACAAGGAAGTTTTCTCCAGGATAGTAGGGTAGGTAGATCCCTGTGACACCGGATTCCAAGCAGAGGAATCTGGAGAGATTCATAAGGGATGCAAATATATTCAAATAGATGCATACATTAGTGCCTGGAAAAAAATATATTTTGTTTTTAAGGAGGTGGGAATTGCTTTACTAATACACCTGATATTTAAGATATAGGCAGCAATGACTCTGGGCCAGGATTTATAAAAAATTACCTCCTTTAGGGGCGCCTGGGTGGCTCAGTGGGTTAAAGCCTCTGCCTTCGGCTCAGGTCATGATCTCAGGGTCCTGGGATCAAGCTCTGCTCAGCAGGGAGCCTGCTTCCTCCTCTCCTCTGCCTGCTTCTCTGCCTACTTGTGATCTCCGTCTGTCAAATAAATAAATAAAATCTTTAAAAAAAAATTACTTCCTTTAATCCTCACACCACCACTGTGATGTAGTACTGTTGCTGTCCTTGTGTAACAGTTGAGACCACCAAGGCGTGGAGAGCTAATAGCTTGGCTCGAATCATATCACTAACAAGTGGCAGAATCTAGGAAGGAAGGTGGCACTCTGGCTAGTGACTCCAAGCTCTTATCCTTCCATCCTGTTTTTTGAGCTTTCCCTGGTCCCACTGTCACTCCTGCCTTGATCAGGGTCCATCACATAGCTGCAGCTCAAGAGCAAGGTGAATCTCTTGCTGGTCTGGAGCCTGGTTGCTGGTCTGGAGCCTGGCTGCTTGTAGTCAGGCTGGGGCAGGGCAGAGGGCTGGAGAACTCAGGCGGCCATCCTGTGTTGGTGGAACCAGCTCATTGACTCCCCCAGCATGCCCACCCCACCCCACCCCAGGCCAACCCATAGCCCTTGGACTATGGCTCAGTTCATTGGTGTTTCCCTCCCAAAGGGGCATCAGCCCTGCTCTGTTGACTACAGGGGTTCAAAGGTGAGATATTGGCTTGGTCAGGGATTTGGACAAAGCCCGGTTTTAATGATCCTGCTCTCCCTCCCTCCCCAGAGACAGCCATGAATAGGGCCTGTGGGAGCTGGCTCTGCCTTTCCCCAGCACCCCCACCCCCTTCAAACAACCCGCCTTTAGATCCAGGCCCCCCTATTTCATGCGATGTGCCAGCTCTTCAGCTGGGCTGTGCCAGTCAGTACCAGGAGAGCATCTCTTCCCCCCTGCCTCAGTGGGACAGCAGGCTGATATGCCCTAAGGACCACACTTAGGGCGAGTTGGAAGCTTGGTGAGACTGGGATTGTTACCTGTCAGAATGCGTCAGGACTGGAGGGGTCATCATGTTGAACTCCTTCATGCTATAATGGGGAAACTGAGGCCAGGCAGTACCCAAGGTCAGGTGGCCCATGAATGGAGGACATGAACCCGGGTGTCCTGATTTCCAGGCTCCCAGGTCTTGCTTTTCTCCACACGGTTCTGTCCATGATGGGCCCCGCCCCCTGCCACCACCACCACCCCGCCCCCCGCCCGGTGCCAGGTTCTGGGACTGGGCCTTGGGACAGAGGGGAGGAGCAGGGATGAGAGGACAATGTGCCCCGTTCTTCTCTGTGTCCCCAGTGGCCAGCACAGCGCCTGGCACAGGGCGGTTCTCCATAAATGTTTGTGGAGGCTGGGGAGCAGCCCTGCCCCTGGCCTCCCAGGGTGCCCTGTGCCCGGCTCTCCCCCTGGCATTGTGACAGTTAGTCTGCACATTAGTCCCCTCCATCATCTTGGAGTTATTTGAGGATAAGGAAAGTAATAAAAGGAGCTACTTCCGTAGTGCTTCCCACTAGGTAGGAAGCTACCGTATCACGGTCCCATTTCACTGATGAAGAAACTGACACAGAGATTCTGTGGCTTCCTAAGGTCACACAGCAAGTTGTAAGTGGCAGAGCTGAGGGATGGACTGGGCCCTTCACCTCATTCCCAGCAGCCCCAAAGGTGTGGTGTTTGTCTTGGTGTCCACAAGGCCAGCCATGCAGCCGGTACTCAGAGAATGTTTGTTGACTGACTGGTTGACAGAATATGAAGAAACCACAGATTCCTGTAATCTAACCCTTTGGAAGCAGCTGGAGTTGGAGTCTTGGGAAGGCAGCCTAGAGGCACGGCATTTTGTTATCTGTTGCGGGAGTGCCTGATCTAAACCCAGACAGGAAAGGGAAGCTCACACCCTCCTTGTTGCCCCAGAATTTTAAGGATATGGTGCTGAGCAATGGGCACATGGGAAAGGACTACAGGCAGGATTAATGAGTCTTGTTACTTTTTCATCTCTCTGGCCCTGAGATCTTCAGCCCAATGCATCACCTTGGATTGGTGGGAGAATCTGCCACCTTCAGCTGGAGGGTAGACAGTGTCTGGTTCAAGGCAGAGCTTGTCATGGCCACCCAGGCACCTTTCCTCCATGGGATGTTGTGGAATTTCTGTCCACCTCCCATCCTAAACCATAGGCCCAGGGTCATCTCCTCCACCCTCCTCCAACCCATGTGCCCCTGGACAGGGGACCTGTTTCCCTCTGACTACCCCTCTGCTCCCCACTTGCTGGTCTGAAATCACATCAGTTATCCACATGGCTAGGCCACACGTTATCTGCAGACAAAGGCTGGCGGGGAGCTCTCTAAGGAGAAAGAAGACTCAGTGTGGAGGAGTCCTTCTAATACACAGGCAGCCGTGACGGGTGAGAGGCCTGGGCCTGGCGTGGCCTGTTGGCACGTTGTGGGGCAGGTTGGTTGGGCCCTGGCCTTCAGCCTGCTGCAGTCCACATTTCAGCTCCACGCCTTTCTCACTGTGTGATGTGGCCTTCCTGACCAAGTTCTTTGTTTTTAGCCT